ATCTAGAAATGATGGGTGGAAAAAAGTCGGGAAAGTGAAAAGCAACTTTTTTTTTGCGAAATCACCATTCTCCATTTTCCTCTTACCTGAGTGTATAAAAATTCTCGAAGTAAAATCGATTTGCGCGCGAAGAGAGTGTGTCAGGGAGGCTTTCGGTCTTTGTAGGGGGACACCTTATATAACATGGGAAATTGGCAGGAGGTATTTCCTAATATCGAACGCGCGCGTCCCCTGGAAAAGAATGTCGGTGTGACATTACAGGAAGAGGGAGAGCAGCACGGAAGAGACAGAAGTGCGCGTTTTTGCTCCCGAAAATCTCGCTGAAACAAAGGACCGTGGGGGAGGGAAGGAGGATAGAAACTTTTTTTTTTAATTTTCTTTCCGTTCTTTTTTGATTAGAAAAATCGTAACGCTGGCGTTTATAAAGTGCATGGTTTTTTACGAGACGCCGATCGTGCTGTGACTCGAATCGTTCGTTCCCTGCTCGTATGATCGTTTAAGCCAATCGCGTGAGAATAATGGGAGGCGCAAAATGATGCGAATCTATTACGGATACAAATAGTAGACGATAATTATTGCATTATTCAATTTTGTCTGATCTGTCTCTCCAAATTAGAAGTAATGATTCCACATGTAAACATTATTTTATTAAATTAAGATAATATATATAAAGATGTGCCAAATTCGCATAACTTATTATTAGAGTTCACTTTGCGAGATATTTTCTTACGTTTGGTGTACAATTATTTTGTTCTTCTAATTTTAAACAAATAGGCGTATCGAAATTATAATTCCTAATAGGTATAACCACAAGATTGTTGTACATCAACCAAATTTGAACTCAGAGATTAAACTCTCATCATAGAAATATCTTTCTCTTTCGATGACAAATGAAGCTGTAAAAACTCAGCTGTTAAAACGAAGTACTAACATCCAGTAAAATAGACGTATGTTCCGCGATGTTTGTTAAGCCATTGCGAGACGTTTGCTTTTCTGTGATAAATCTTTCATTTTCTCTCGGGGTAAAAACGCAGTCTATCTTTCGTCGAGCTTTTGTAACGATAAAGCGGAGTAAGATATACGTTATTCATCGAGACAGTGGGAGACGGTAATAAAATATTAATATAAGAATACCGGAGCATGTTCGCGTGCTAGAAGAAGTAAATCTCGGATAAGATTAAAAAGAAGATAGCGCGACACGCTTTTGAAACGGGAACGGATGACAAAGTTTCTCCTTCGTCGATGTATATCTGCTGACTATTTGATAAACTTTGATATTGATTGCGTAAGCATGGTGTAGGACGTGCGCACGTGTGACACCTGAATTTATGTGGAAGTTTACTTCTATGACCCGAATAAGCAAATAAATGTTTAAGAGTGCTGAATTGTCTGTTAAAAAGACTGTTAGGGTCCATCTACAATGGGAGTAGTAAGTCGTAAGCCGCAAGAAATTGACCAATCATAGCCGATTATTCTTCTCATATTCGATTGTATAATTGATCAATCTTTTACAGCTCACGACTTACTACTACCATTGTAGACGACTCTTTATGTATGTCTGTTAAAAAAGAAGCCGTGCTATACACACTCAGTACAGCCGTGCTGTACTCATATGAATACCTAAATGATTGTTACGTGTGTTTTCAGAAAATTGATATAATTAGTTGTACAAACTGTTCTCATTTATTTAAACATCATGAACGTGCGTGTATATATTTGTTGGATACGAATTAAATATCGCTTTACAGAACGTTCCATTTCGCGTTCTCTTATTGCGCGGTATTTTCACAATAATCGATTTAATTAAATTCTCAACAATAGTTATCATCGGGAAGTTCGCCGATCGATCCCGTTTACCTGCGAAACTTTAAACGCACACGCGTTATGGCGCAAATATAATTCTGCGCAACGAGCTGCTCTATCCGCGATAGACGCGGTGCATTAGGCACACCCCGTACACGAACTCCCGATAATGCACGGGGGATAAACGTAACGGAGAATTTAAGACAAATATTTGTTTGCCACACATAACGTGGAAACTTGTCGTACTGAAACTCGATGCACGGCAATCGGTGTGGAGATAAAATTAAAGTTTTAACAAAATGGAAGAGAGGAAATTATGTGTCTCTCGCGAAAGAGAAATAAATAAAGTTCTAGTTAATATTATCTTTTCGTTCGCCACATAAGGAAATTTTTATTTCATAAAATTGAAAGAGTTGATATTATATATAAAACGATGTTATTTTATTGGCAAGAAATTAAAAGGAATATCTTTATGTTCTGATATATTTTTTACTTTTTAATTTCTTTGTCACACACAAAATACATTACAATTTATACATTATATAAATCATTCTACAATATATATACATTATATTATACAAATTATACATTATTAAATGCGAAATTCACAAGAATCGAGGAAATAACGAAATTATTCTCATAGCCTGAGGCTTTTATCTTACATACATAAGATTCCCCATAAATTTAACGAGGAATAAATATAACGGGAAATTTAAGATTTAAGAACATTTGTTTATCCTGTAACGCGATACCCCCTCCCCCCCTGTCACAGCGGTACTCGACGTCTCGGGCCAGATCGGCGTACGGGGAAAGGGCAGAGGATGAGTTAAACTTTTAACGAGCTTTCTTCCTTCCTCCTCTCTCGGTCCTCTTAAAGTTCCTCGAGAACGGCGCGCAGCTCGCTACCCGCGTTTCTGTTTCATCGTGTTTCCCGTCGACGAATGCCGAACTTCCTCCTATCGTCCTGCGATGACACAGGTCTGCATTTATCCACGGCCGTCCATCCATCACGGGCTACGAAGCTTCTCCGCGAAGAGGCGCGTGATTTATTTGCTTGGTGAATGCGCCGGTCAAAATCGCTCGGATGAGAAAAGCCCGGTGTGCCCGCGACGGACGTTTGTATTTCGTTCCGTTATCCGGAATTAAGTGCGGCTCTGCTAATTTTCTCGTTTACGTCCGACGTCTTCGATGTAGCAGCCCCATCGGGGGCGGCTCATCAGTTTAAAAGCACATTGATTGATCACTAATTATGCAGTAATTAAAAATATATAAAATATTTGTAATAAGTATATATTTCAAGATATACTTAAAATATTTTGTAATAATAAGTATATATTTCAAGATATATTTAAAATGTTTTGTAATAATAAGTATATATTTCAAGATATATTTTGCTTTTAACAAATGCATATATATATAAGTATACATATAAATAGATATATTTGTTTTTTAACAAATGAACAATTAAATTGAACAATATTCTATCTCATTTTATTCTATTAATTTTATATTTATTACTGCTATAAGTACATCTCTCTAGCTTTACTCGAATGTATAGGTATAGCACACGAGCCGTAAGCTATAAATTTTTCCTTTCTTGTCATCGAGTACGCTATAGTCTAGAAAGCACTTTTGTATTTATTGGGACGTGTATGGAGCTCACGCAGTGTGTGCCACGCATTATAGTCGGATAGCGAACGTAGCGAAAAATAATATATATCCTTCTATTCTTTCTCTCTCTCTTTTTTCCCCTCTTTATCTCTTTCTTTCTCTTTCGGAGCACGTGGCCGAGATTCCGCCGCGATATCGCGAGAACGGCAATTATTTCGTTGCAAGAATTTTCCTGAAACGTTTCCGGAATTTTCGCGCAAAGTTAATGGAATTTGAAGGAGAAAGTTACGAACACGGCCTCGAACACCTGCCGTAATAAGATATTTCGTGTGCGTGCGCGCACACGTACAGTTGTTAGTGGTGGCATTCCTCTCGAAATAATAATAATTTCACGAAACTTCACGTTTCTTCCGCGGGGTGCGACTGAATAATGTTATCAAATGCACCGAGCTTGCATGCCGTGTATAAACCGAGCCGTAAAGACCGAGACAAATGGAGGCTTTCTTAGAAAAATGTTGTAAGCTCCGTTCTCTATTTTTACAGATATTTTTGATGGAGTATCACATAAAACGTTTAAAATATTAAAAGTAACGTACATGTTTTCTTTCGATTACGTTATTTTTATTGAGATGTTACAATTGGAACTAACACTCTTTATGAATATTTCCACAAGAAATTTATATACATTATTTACTTAGAAAAACTGGGAAAATAAAGACAATTTTGGATCGCACTTGCACACTGAGTTTTTAAGATGTTCAAAATTACAAAAGTTATTATAAATGGAAAAGCTTTATTTTTATGAATGGAGTTATATAGAACACAGTGTCGAAAATAAGAGGCTAATAAAAATGTGATAATACCGTCGTAATTGGACGGTACAGATGCTCAATCGGTCACGATCCGCTCTCGGCTCTTCCTCTCCTCAACGTCGTCCGTGATTCGCGTATTCGGCATTCGGCCGAGTTCCCGTGCCAGCAACACGTGATATTCCGAAGCTCTCCCGCATTCCGTCGCGTCAAAAACCCGCATGCGTGCGATGCATAAGGACGAGCGACGGAATGCGCCGTGCCGTGCCATCGTCGGTGCCGGGCAGCCGCGATTTCTCGATGAGAGCAGGATGCGCGGGCCGATCGGCCGATCATGCGCGAGCTTTTCGAACTTTCGACCGGCCGGAGATCGGCGGTCCGTGTTGAGAGAGCAGTCAGTGCAGTCAGTGCAGTCAATGCAGCCGGTGATTCCGCGGATCCTCTCCCGGGACCGGGGGCGTCGATTCTGTTAGCGGGAAAGTGCCGCCGCGAGGGGTGCGTTTCGAAAAGGCACTTTGCCGTTCCAGGAGTGGCTAGGCGTATCGGTGGTGGGGATATTATAGCGAGAGCAGAGCCGAGAGGGTGAGAAGGGAGACGCAGCAAGGGGGGTGAGATAAGCAGGCAGAGCGAGGGAGAGAGAGAAAGAGAGGCAGAGAGAGAAAGAGACAGAGAGAGAGGGGGTCAGGTAGATAGAGAGGGTCGCGGGAGAGAGGGAAGGGACGGTCCGGAGGGATGGAGACCGTGAGAGCGTGAGAGGGTAGCGATTGTGCTACAGTCGCACCGCGACACCCCCACGAGCGAAATCGCGCGCGGCAGCCCGCATTCTCGTGTATAAAAGCCGTGTACGTGTATCGCAAAAAAGGGCCCGCGAACAGTGCTATGCTTTTGAGGCTGCGATTGGGAAGGTGTCCTCCATCTTCGTCATTGGCCTTATTCTCGTTTTCTTTCAAGTGAGAGCGCAAAAGCCATACGGAGCGCGGCGCTTCTAATGGGGTGAGTTTTGTATAAGTGATTTTAAATGTTGTACACTTTTTTTTTTATTCTATAATACAAATATAGTGAAGAAAATAACATTTTTAATGTAATGTCGGTTTAAAAAGGGAGATAAGATAGTTTTCTTGAAATAAAAGTTTGAATAAATAAAACAAAATTTTTATAGCTAATTTTAAGTTTGTTTAATGAAATCTCTTGTGATACATATGGCATTAGATATTGAATAGAAAGTTAAAAAGTTAGTGACATGACAGTGTCTGATCAAATATTTGTTAAGAAAAATTCGACTTTCCTCAAATCTATGTTCGAAAGTACGTGTCTTATGGAATATTTTACTCTTTCGAAAACGGAATTCGATAGGTATTCAGAGTTAGACTAAAGATTCAATATAATTTTTTAGAAAGTTTATTAAAAATGAAAAGGTGAATCATGATTATAATTTTTTAATAAATTATTAAATCTATAATTTATAAAATTATTAAATAATTTAATAAATTATAGATTTTTTATGTATATTTTTTATTACATGTTATCCTTTTATATAAATTTATATTTCTAATAACTAGAAATTATAGAAATTGAATATAATTAGAAGTTATGCTGATAGCGAATTTTGAGATAATGTTCGAACACTAAAGTGGTTGTGATGTATTGCTACATATTTTATTGCGATGATAAAGACTAAATAAAGATGTAGAATACAAACTAAATGATTAATGTATACAGTGCATTTGCGATATTGGGGCAGAGTTTATATTACGCAACTTAATTTTTGTTTGCTCCCGTGATTTATTTTCAACCGAAACGGATCCATTTCATATATCTTCTAATCCTTTAAAATATTATTATTATCTATCGCTGTTTTAAGAACACAAATATAAATTCCAATTATTGGAATTAAATTTTTTTCAGAGCTCCAATTCGATACGTTGGTATATTGGATTTACACAAAATTTAATTTGATTCATTTTCATTTGAAGTGGGAATGAAACTCTAAAACAACTACACTCTCATTCCTTTACGTAATATTAGAGATTGCATCGATCCTGACGAGCTCGTTTCGCAACATGAAGGCTAAGATATCAAATGTATTAGTTCCTATTTAGATACTTGTACTAATTTATTAAATTCCTTAGCAAGAAAATAATTTCGTAGGGAATTAACTGGACGGAATTCTCAGCGATACCGTGTAGATTCCGCATTCTTTCCTGGAAGGAAATTAATTTCGCAGCGGCTCTCTTTTAACCGGTCAGAATTATAAGCGATGCAGCCGCTCGCTATTTCCGAGTCGAGCACTATTAGGTATATCGAGATACGCGTATTTTTCCGCGATGGGGCCGATCGAAGGATTATTTCTCGGAATCGTTTGTTAAAACGTCGTCGAGGTCAGTGCGAAGGGAAGGTCGCGGGCCTTTGCGCGATTCAACGGCGACCTGTTGATGATCTTTCTCCGACTCGGTGCGTTTCAAGAAATACCCTCGGGAATTACGTGCACGTTAACTCCTTCCTTGTGAGCGGCATACATAGGGATGGTTTAGGAGTTGCATCATTCGGCTGTAAATAGTAAAAAAATACACGTTTAACATATATTTAACAAATTGCATTTTTCGCTATTAAAATATAAATATTTTAGAATACAAATTTCTAACTGTTCTAAATTTAATTAATTACTTACTTTTATAAGATTACAAATGAATAATAAAATATTCTGTTATTTGGTTTTTTATTGAAGGATTATTAGGATAAATATTTAATATTTTTGATCATAAAAATACTTAAATTAATAATAAATACGAAGAAATTCTAAATTAATTATAACTCATGGATGAAAGAAATACGTAATAATGTTTAATTATGCAATAATGAGTTTTCCATAGTCAGTAATATCCATTAATAGATAAAATAATTCTTGGAATTAATTAATTTTATATAATTAAGTTAATGTGTAATAATTATTTAATAATATAGAAAATTAATATATAATGGACTGCAAGTAATAAGTACCTCATTATATGTGTGATTTAATTTTCCCTAGTTTGTTATTTTTACACGGATAATTAAATCACGTACATATAATGAGGCACTTATTACACACTTGGATTTGCAATGTGGTAATATGAAATACATCTTTATTATTTATTTACTCATTTGTATATTGGTTTAATTTCTTTGAAATACTATTTGAATGGGTCCGATAAAAACCTGTTGAAGAGACGCCGCATCTTGGCCGATACACCGATGGAATCGCCTGTCCAATTGCCAATATTGATTATGACGCTTGCCAAAGTTGCGAGAACTCCTTTGACAGAAAAGCTGCCCTGAATTATTATGAAAGTTTCATTAATTCCGACCAATGGGACGCCAGGGCAAAAATAATATTCGCGCAGCGAGAAGTAATAACTCGCTCGATCGCTTCTCGTCTTTATCGTTGGCTGCAGAAATCTGCTTGCGTATTTTAGCTATCAACTATGTTAAATATTAAGCTATTTTAATTCTCGTACTCCGATCAGTTTTTTATCGATCCGCAGATGCAAATATTGGCAATAGATTCGATTGCGATAATGAAAAATTCGTCGATTTTAAAAGTATATACTAATCCGAAACTATAATTTTCGTTAGGTATTGGTGGCAGACGTTAAAGCACTTAATACTAACAGTTTTGAGTATAATTTTTAGCAGTTCTTTCGATTTAAGAAAACTTAAAGAACATAACATACTTATCTGGATCTGGATTTCATCCTTATATAAAAAGCTCAAGTCTTCTAATACAAGCTTATATTAATAAAAAATCTATTATTAAATATTTATTATATAATAATACAATTTCGTCGAGATTCTATTTTCTCTATATCGTGTTCCTCATTATTTTTCATTATGGAAGTAAAACAAGTTAAAGTGTTGGAGAGTGAAATCATGAATCCAGATAAAACTTAAACTATCATAAATGAGGCTGCAACTACGTCGATGCACGGGCTTCTTTCAATCGCTTTCCCGATTCCTTTTATATAGCGATGTATATAAGGAACTTTTTCTCAGCCTACAGCGCCGTCGTTCCAAGCATCTGTGTGCCGCGACGTCTCCGATGAACTCGCCTTTGGAGTGCTGCCAATGACTTTTGGCTGACTCGTAGAACCTGTTGATGACTCTGCGATTCGCGTATTCCACATTTCATCTTCAATCGAATAGATTTGTTTATCGACGGCGTTCGACAGCTGTTCTCACAGTCGGTAGAATAAACGTGGCATATTTATTTAGCTTCTTTTTGAACATCTTTAACTTCTTACACCGACAAGAGATTCAAAAGCATCGTTGAGATATAATTGCGCAAAACTACGTGCTCGATAGCTGGCAAATTACCAGAATAATTATACCATTGAACCGAACAGAGTTAGAAATGCAAACGTTTTTATCAATGCAATGCGATACAACTTTTTCATCGACTCGTCTCGTCCGTCCGCTTTGATTGCACGAGAGAAGCGCATTTACATTTCGTCCTGCAGCTCGCGCTTCTCCTTTTTTAATTTCTTCATTTTCCCGAGAGATCTCTACCGAGCTCGTGTTTCTTATTCAGCACATGTTCGTACTATTTTCAGGTCTAATAGGACCGTAGAGCTTGTGAGACGCCTCTGGTTCTATCTTTTCGCCGTTTGCCGCTTTTCCAATTTTTCGTGCGCGCGGATCGCGCGGCGCGGCGCGGCGCGGCGCGGCGTGCCAATTTCGTGCAGTCGTAACTTTTCCGTATCGTTTGACCGTTGCGGAGCATCGGTTTTTCTCGATTTTCACGCGGCACCGTCCGTTACAAATAGTACGTGGCGACGCAATCCCACGCCGATCTGTCCTGGAAAATATTTTTCGAACGAGCGACAGGATGGGAGGGAAGAGGGGGAGGGGGAGGGAGAGCGCGCCGTCTGCGAAGTCTCTGCGGGCCGATTATTACCGCGGGCTGTGTTTAATTTCTCAGGAGACAGCATAATTACAAGCGAATTAGATACCGTTTTCAGGCGCAGGTGTAAGCATCCGGTACATTATTTCTCGTAATAACGACGCGGCAGCGTTTTGTTATCCAATAGTTAAACATGTGTGCGTTTATTTGTCCCGACAAAAATTACGTGTGAGCGAAGCTTACGCGGAGAGAGGCAAAGAAGAGAAACGTATATAAAATATACTTACATAAAAGCTTTGTTAACCGCAAATAGAGTTACACGCCGGGGAGCGATGAGCTTAACCGACGAGCACAATTTTTATCTCTAACATATGATTTTAAATATCTAACTTAAAAATTAAAATGTTTATTCTATGATAACAACGCTTGTAACTGAAGTAATGTTACGACTGGCTTTGTTTTTGTTTCGTGCGTGCTACGGATAATCCCCCGTATAACATGCACAGTTTTTTGGCCGTGCTTAATGAAATTCTACTGTCTACTGCAGCATCCTAATGAGATGCTGGCGTACGGTGTACTTAATCCGCATGAGAGAAACATTTACATTCTAAAGTGCAAATTCATTGTTTCGCGTGCGCGGTTAGTATCCGCGGCCGTTTCGCCGAGTCCGCCGCCGTGCGCAAGATGGATTCCCTTAAATTTCAAACCATTCTTCTTGAGAACTCGCCACCACCGCCGCGGGTGTCCAACAATAATCAAGCCAGCGTCCCCGTGCATCTTCCCCTTTTTTCCCCTCCGCCGACGTGAACTCCCCGAGCGGGCG